ATGGAACCTATTATACAAGTGAGAAAGGTATGTTACAATGTGGGGAATGTTGAAAAATTTTTAGGAAGGAAGCTGCCGAATTAATTCTTTAGGAAGAATGGTCGAATTTTTCTAGGAAAGAAATGGCATGTCCCTTAAACTAAACTAGCTTAAGGATCTAGTTAGCTTAATGAACATCTTTAGCAACTAATTAGACACCTAAGCACTTCATTTAATGTAATTGATGACAACTCATCACCTTTGACTACGAAATTGCCACTTTGCCTTCTAAAGTCTTCCTTTATTTTATACTTAGACAACTTAACTAAGCACATGTAGCATACTAAATAATAAAGGCAAATAGAGTATATATATAAGGAAAAGATGAAATTTAGCCATTTGTTTTAGTGAAATCCATAGCTCACCCAAAAGAAGGAAAAAAAACGTCATTGAGAGGGAGAGAAACATGAAAAAGCAAGAGAGAAAAAGAAAGGAAAGAAAGAAAGGAGAAAAAGAAGGAAAAAGCTAGGAAAATCCTTAACAAACCTAAACTAAGTAAGTGGGTTTTTATCTATGCCATCTATTTGATTTTTAAATATTAATTTATGTAATTGATTAAGCTTTTGATTATGTTGTGTTGGTATTGTGTTGGATTGCTTGGCATATAATTGTTGATTGTTATGTAATATATAAAGCATGGTTGATATATTGCTTATTAAGTTTGGAAAGCCTTGTGCGTGGCTATGTTTGTGTATTGATAGGTTTGATTGAAATAACTGGGGCTTGGTAAAGCAACATGGAAAGGATGCAGGATCTTGAACAGCAACTCAGTAATGCTTCTCATCAGGTGGGTTTGGTAATTTTCTTTTTTTTTTGTGATTGGATATTTTTAATGATGAATATGTAGTCTGGAGTTAAGGGTGATGTTTTGTTTATAGGCTGAAGGATTGGTTAAAGCGCAGTAAAACGTGGCGACTGCGGCTGTCAAAGCAAGTAGATTCTACCGGGAATTAAATGCACAGAATGTGAAGCATTTAGTAATTTAAGCTATTGATTACGCCTTGCAATTTTCTAATTAAGTTGATTTGTCCATACATGTTATGTTTAAATGGCATTTTCTTTAATAGATCTATGTTCTATCTAGCTCCGTGAGAATTAAGTATGTATTACCAACCATGCTCTAAGTTAACTTTATAGGCCTTTTGTCAAATCTGCAACACCAAAACTTAGCCTGTTGGACTTAAGAATTGAATGCCCTGATGTTTGAAGCATGCTTTGCTACATTCTTAAGTTGTTTTCTGTTATGTTACGCAATCAAGCTTTGACTGAATTTAACAAACCGACCTGCAAATGCGAAAGAAACCGATTAGAACCACAGAAACTGAACAAGGACACGAAAATGCAGTTAATTCAAAGGTATGGAAGTTCACGCACCTAATCAGAAAGAGAAGAGAGCATGAAGCAGGAGAATGGCAGAAAGAGAGAGGGATCTGCAGCTTGTGTACGTGGATGGAGAGAGAAGAAAATATCTCAACCAACTTTCACAAATTCATCTTCCAGAGGCGTAGATAAGGAAGGGAGCTTTGATTTAGTACATTTGGGCGGAAAATGAGTTTGGCATTAAAAAAATTATTACTTTAATCAAATTCTTAACTATAAGCCGCCAATGCCTATTAGGAGCTAAATTTTCAAACTTTTTTTTTTTGGTAACAATCAATTATTAACAATAAAAATAATAATAATAAATAAATAAAAACTCTTTGAAATTCAAGAAACTGGTAGAATCAGAGGTATCTGGTGTGAGTAATTATAATTTGTTTTACTTAATAAAAATAAATCAAGGGTTGAAAATTTATGTAGAATTGAAACTTTTATACATAACCAAATGGATAATTTTCCAATGCATTAAATATTAGAAAATTTATGTAGAATTGAAACTTTTATGCATATATAAGCAAAAGTATAACTTTTATTCCCATCTATTTTTGACTTTTCAAGTTTCGTTGAGGTAAGATAGATAAATAAAAATGATGAAAACTAGAATAAAAATATTGTTTGTTATGACTGAACTTTTAAGTGGGTAATTAAAATGTTAATAATAAATAATTAATTAAGGACATCTACTTCTTTTTCGCATCTGTTTTATTTTAGATTATAGAAAAGGATCACATTAAAATAAACTTGAAGAAAAATAAAGACAACATTTATTATGTAAATTTGATAACGAAATATCATCACATAAGCAGTCGAAAAATGTAGATTGGCTTTAGTAAACTTTTTTTTTTTTATACGATGGTATTTTTTTGATTTCCTTATAGTTTTTTTTTTCATTCATTTTTAAATTTTACAACTCATTTTTGTTTGTCCTTTATGTTTTCAAAATAAAATTTTAAATCCTCATATTTTTAAAAATATTTTGAAATCTCATATTTTTAATTTAATCTATCTTTACCTTACTTTTTTTCAAAATATATTTTTTCTTCCTCATATTTAAAAAAAAATATTTTTGGCCTCTTATGTTTTTAAATTTTAGAACGAACACATATATCAAATTATATTTTTTTTATGTATTTCTCAAAAAAAAAAAAAAGTACCTATATTATAATAAAGAATTTTATTGCTCATAGTTTGTCATTTATTACTATTTTCATTAATTTTTCATTTCTTTTAAATTCTCATCCGATTAATTTAAAATTATATTTACTCATAGTTATGATTTATTTTAATATTATTTATCCACTTAATAAAAATTAAATTCATATTTTTTCAATATGAAATAAAAAAAATATTTGTTCAATTCTATGTAAGTTTTTAGTAATTGTTATTTTTGTTTTTTAACACAATCTTATAAAATTCTAAAGTTTTTTTTTTAATTATTTAATTTTCTTTTTAGTTAATAATCTATGGATTAACAAGGATAAATCCTTTTTGTAAAGAAAAAAATGAAAAACACAAATAAAAAATAGTTAAATACAAAATGTTTTATTAAAAAATTATTATTATTATTATTTTATCTTTGATTTCACATATTGTTATGAATTTACACCATAAAATAAATTATTAAATTAAAATAATTTTTCTAAATAATTTTATATATTTTATCCAACCTGCAACATAGCGCGAATCTAAAATCTAATTTATTCTAAGCTAACTAGGTTCCTATTAACCAAGAAAAGAAGGTGAGTGGTCGTAAATCTTTTATTAGTGCTATATTTGGCACCACCTAGCAACTACCTCATCTTGTGATATGGTGATAAATAGCCTGCCCAAAATGAAACAGTCCTCGGGACCATTCCTGAAACTCAAGAGCATTCTCCTGCTCACCTCTATTTTTGAGCCAGCATATGCTTATTGGCTTCAATTTTGAATACAAATCAAGTACAAGATTTATGAAAAGAACCAGGAAACCAGATGAGGAAGAACTCCATGGCCTTAGATTAAGCATTATAAGGTACACAAGGTAGATCATCCAAATTTCCGTATTGTACGAGTACAATTTATTAAAAGGGGTAAAATATAAAACAGGAGCTGTTCTTTTCGTTCTTCATTCCTCTACAGAAACAGGTATGTGCAAGTTCACCACCTTCTATCCCACCTAATTAATCAATCTGCAAGAGAGAAAGATACCATGAAAAATATAAGGATATTAGCACACTTGAGAGGCAGTCTGCAAGGTAGCATTTCAAATCATGAGCTCGTACAATCTTTTCTCTTTACAGCAGACTAACAAAGAAAAGGATAGCCAATCATTCTCAATCACTAATGACGAAGAATGCGTCACATGCTAAAGTCAAGCAACTGTTTAACGCAATAATATCCCTTCTTACAAGCCTGTGTGGAAAGGTGTCTCAAACAGTCATTACCAAGACCCTATCTCGCATACTAGATGATTCTAGGCTTTAGCAAACAACCAAAATAATAATGGGTTTGAGAATGAGGCGCCAGAAGTTAAAGTGGTAGCACTGTTTGAGGGACTCTGGAATTGAGAACAAGAAGTAATATTATCAATTCTAGCTCTTTCGCCTCGGATAAAAGAACTCACTTACATTGACTTGAAACACCCTGTTCTGCAGAATCCAACCTCACCTTCTTGTTCACATAATCCAGGTACCCCTGCCACGACCAAACAATTTAATATATGCAACTCTGACTGCTGAAAGGGCAATCTTCCAAGCCAAGTTCAAAACTGATAGAAAATTGAAAGGGATGATTTAGAATAAGATACCTGAAGTATTCCAACCGCAGCGAACTTGTCCATTATAGATTTAGCATGAACTGGATGCAAACCCAAAGGCTTTACTAGTAATTCCACATTCTGTAAACAACACAAACTGTGAGCGACCTAGCATCTGCTCCTCTAACCTACATCCATATAAAAGAAATGTGGTAATGAAGTGAACCTTTGATTTTCCAATTAACAATAATCACCCACCTTTGACGTAAAAGACTCATCCCAATATGTGAATTTTAAACCTTCAAGTTTCTCTGTGTTACATAGGTCATCAACAAAAAGCTTCATCTTCACAGCCTAGTAAAAAAGGAAAAACAAACATCAGCAATAAGTAAATGAGAATAGATCAAATTGATAAGCAACAAGATTAAAACATACATCAGGAGCACATCGTTGCCTGTCAAAAGGGTAGCCAACAATGAAACCCTCCAAGGAAAGTTCAGAAATCTGCACATAAACAGAAAAGGAATAACAACTATAACTCAAACTCAGGATCAACATGCCTCACAGAACCTAATTTATTTCCACAATGTTATAATAAGCAATTGAGCATGCTTTACTGTTATTCCAGCTCTCATATGTTTAAAGCATAGCATAGTTCTCAGAATGGTATACAACAACACAACCATGATACAACAGGACACTCTCAAAACTACAAACAAAGGAAATACAAAGGACAAGCTTTGGACAACATAAAAGAAACGAAACACTCACCAAACTTTGGAAATCAGTAGCCATCAATTCAATATTAGTTTTCTTCCTTAATAAAACACTGCAGTGTTAACAAACAAGCAAGGTAAAACACAGTTAGATATACAAAAACATGGGCACCTTAACAAGGCCCCAAAGACACAAACTTGTTAAAGAAGAATGACAAAAAATAAAAAAGACAGTGACATGACAAGGAAAATGAAATACAACAAAAATTCTTAATGTATACCTTAAAGGGGTAGCGATTTTATTAAGTGGGTCAGACACAGCTAAACCAACATACTTGTCACCAACATCCAATCCAAGCAACCTCCCTTTCTTGATTACATTTGTCTTCAACAATTCACGGAACAAGCTCAGTGGTCTCACATACCTCATCTGTTATCACATTGACACAAAAAACAAATTAAAAACAACCCAAAACATTTTTGCAATTTCGAACATAATTAAAACTGACATTGAAGCAAAAAATTAGCAAAAAAAAAAAAAAAACAGATATTTGATCGTGTTTTTCCACACTGTGTTTCGTTACGACATTTTTACAAACAGGTGGTGTGAGAAGCCAAACTAGCAAGACCTAGCATATGTTAGTTACATTTGATTAATTGCGATTGATGGGTTTTGATTATTTAAGTGATCAGATTTCAGACAACATGAAACTAAATGACGAACAACGTTTGTTAAGGTATTGAGACCGCAAAAGTAGCAGCACCCTCAAAACGGCTTTGTCCGTTGCCTTGTGTAGTACATACGGCCACGAAAAATAGCACGGAAGCAGAAACGCACCGTTTTGACTTCTGAATCGCAAGACAGTCGTTTTCTTTTCCGAAACTGCCCCTCCCTCTCTCCTTTGCTTTCCCTCTTATTCATTCATCTCAGAGGACGTTGTTACGATTCCGCCTGGTTTTTAATTTTTAGCCGGTTTTTTTTTTCTTAAGTATAAAGTTCGGATAACATAATTTGTTTTTCAGTTCTGCTGTTATTTTACCAATAGGGGCCCATGTTAGAAAATAATCCGAGAAAAAGTTTTATAAAATTTATTTTTTAGTAGAATAACCGAAGTGGCTAATATTTTCTATATTTTAATATTTAGGAGTATTTAATCTGAAAAAAGAAAATGTCTAAAATAATGCTATTGATTCTAAAATAAATAAATAAAGGAAAAAAAGATATATTTATTTTTCCCCATATGGGGTATGCTGTACTCACAATGATACATGTGATAAATATTTTAAAAATTATTAAAAATATATACGAGTGAATGAGATATTTGAAGAAAAAAAAATTGTATGAGAAATTTTATAATACACCAATAGTAATTAGTGACATGACGAGTAGTTATTTCATTGATCCATTTTAAGAAGAGAGATAGATACAAAAAGAGAGAAATTATATCCATACTCACAAAAAATGATAAGAAGATTTCTACGTTGCTCAAATTTTTTTATTTTCTCTCTCTTATTTCTCTCTCTCTCTTTTGTCTATCTCTCTTCTCAAAGTGGCTCGTGAAGTAGCTACTGTACGTATCATTAGTTACTTCGATGTATTATAAAATTTCTCAAATTGTATGAGATCTTACTATATATTTTATTTGGTATAATATAAAATAAGTATTTTTGGATAAATTTTTGTTCACCAAAACTAACTGTTTTTTCATAATGCAAACATAAAAGCAAGTGCCGCGTGAATTAGTACCATCAAGGACATAAGATGATTTTATTAGAGCATATGGTATGAAAAATATATACTTATTCTTTCGTTTTTTTTAAAAAAATCGATAAAAAGATTGTAAATTATACCTTAGTTCCTGCATTTAAAAAATTATAAGCCAATTTCTTCAATTTTGAAATCAAAATGTAATCCTTTAACAAACTTCAATCGTCAAATAATTAACAAATCTATTACCTTTTGCATTAACCTTTGAAAAAACAGCTCACGGCTTTAATAAAAAGCAATTAAATAATGAAAATTGAAAAGCCAGTCATTAACACATATGAAAATAATAAATACAGGATGAAAATGAATTTTCTTTTTTATAGAGGAACTAATTTATTAGTTTATTAAAAACATAGGAACTATGTTAAACGTATATAAAACATAAATCCCTATTTTTAAGATCTAATTAAATAACTTTAATTAACTAACTAATTCTTGCCAAGTCAACCTAACAATGCATAACTGCTTGTCCACGTGCATCACACAAAGGAGCACCAATTAATTGAATTGTGTTGACTTTATTAATTTCTTCACTTAAGTCTTTCTATGACAAACCAATCAACTTTAACCCTCCATCTTTGATATCTCGGCTCTAGGAGCCCTTGCAACCTATTTAGATTTTTTTACAGTTGCATCAATGCTCTTTGTTTAAGAGACCTTGTCATCAAGATGAAGAGAGGAAAACATCTCTCTAATTCAAAAGCAAATTCTCAAGTAGCATCCAAAAGTGAGCTATTAGTCTATTAGATCAACAATTTAGCAATGGCTTGATTGCTCATCTTTAGGGGAGACCATTCGGTTAAATGGTTTGGTTATACACACTTTGATTCAATTTTTGATTAACCGAATTAAGAAAAATAAAAATAAAAATCGACCTAAAATAAATTCGATTTGGTTTCAAAATATTTCGATTTAATCGAACTTTTTCTTCGTAAAAAAAATCATTTATTTGCGAAATTTTTAAAGACAACCACAACAACTCTAACTTATATTTATTTTTTTCTTAGCTCTCATTACTTCTCTTGCTCTATTTTTGAATCATAACAATAAAATGCATTAAATGCACCTTGCTAAAAGTTGCGAGAACAATCACACACACACAAACACATTTCAATTAGACATTAACATGTTTCAATGCTCAATATGTAGAACAATCACACACACACAAACAAATATGTCAAACATATTTCAAAGTCAAAGCATGGCTGCAAAATGATAGGCTTAACAACAACATCAACCAAAAAGATTAAGAATAATTTCTCAATTACAATAACAACAACAACCAGTAAAATATTCCAACGAGCAAGCAATCGCAAAATATTCCATCCATGGCTATGTGGTCGCCTTGATTACTCTCATTGTCTCATAGCAATCGTAAAATATTCTACCAACATATACATATACTTTTGCATCACATAACCATCAACATATTCCAAGCAAGAAAAGAATCAAAATTAGAAACTTAGTAACTTACACATGTCATTCAAAAAGCCAAAACACCATTAAGTCATCAACCTATCAAACATTTATAGTAGTGATCGTGACAATTGGTAAATCTGAAAAATATAAGATAAAAAAATTAACCCTTTAACATTAATATAGTCATATAGAGGAAAGAAATAACAAATGAAAAGATAGCGTTACATAAATTACCATCTTGCATTTTCTCAACATCTTATAAATTTTCTTCGATAATAATTAGTGTCAATAAATTTTTAATCAAATCTTGAGCACGTATAAGAGATTCCACCAAACTAAGAGTTAAAAAGCTCTTAAAGCAATCAAGAACTCTTCCTTCGATGTTAAATGTCAATTTTGAGGAAACGAGTAAAAACGAGGACTCGTCAATACATCCATAGCCATTTGTGGAAGGATGGGAAATCGAGGAGAATTCATTTTCCACCACTCTAAAGTATTAAAATTAGCATCGTTATTTTCATCACCTCCACCAAGATATTTATCCAACTCTGTTTTATTTCCTCCACCTTCAATATCACATTTGTATTTTTTTAAAAGCATCATTATCTCTATTTTTACTTTACTTTCCCTTTGATCAACCATTTCTTCATTTGCACAATCCATATCAATTCTCCTACTACCTTGGCTAATTTGATCTTGAGGTGTTGACAAATGACAATAGATATATAGATTCCTTCATAATATTTGACATATTTTGACCCTTCAAATCACTATACAATTCTTTGATTGAAAATTCAATAAATATAAGTTTATGTCTAGGATCAAGTATTATCACAATATAAATCAGCTTATTCATTTTCTTAAATCCCTCAAATACTTCTCAAACTTTTCTTTCATTTTATTAACTAATGAAAAATATCCAAATCCCTACTTTGCTATCATTTTTTTCAAAACATGTTCGAGCATATAAATCTCTTCAAAATAAATATTTGAAGTCACATACGAAGAACCCAAAATAAGCAAAGTAAGGTTGTAAAAAATTTTCAACATGTCGACCATCGTTTTACAAGTCTTCCAATCATAAACATTAGATGGCCTACCAGCATTATCACCATGATCTACATCAAATTCACTTATATATAAAGGATCAATTTGCTCATATCTCTTAAAAGCTCTCTCAAATTTTAGAGTCGATTCTAACATCAAATAGGTTAAATTCAAACTAGTTGCGATATCTAGTTGTAAAAAACTCTTAGAATTAATTTTCTCAAGTTGAATGCATTTCTTAAATCTTCTCAATCTAGCGAGAAAATTATCTCACAAACCTAACGATCGACCACATACGAACGATTAAAATATTTCAACCTATTAACAACAATTAGATTCAAAGTATATGCCATACACCTCATATGAATGAATTATCCATTTAAGATGCTATGACCTTAATTCTTAACCACATCTTTTAAGTATCTAATTATCACATCATTCGAACTTGCATTATCAATCGTAATAGTAAAAACCTTCTCAATTCCCAATCAATCAAGCATTTCTCAATGGTAATACCTAAATCTACTCCCTTATGATTATCAATCGAATAAAAATTCAAGATCTTTTTATGCAACTTTCAATCATTATCAATAAAATGAGTCATTAAATACATATAATTGATTCTTTGAATAGATGTCCATATGTCCATAGTGAGGTAAATTCTTTTACTATTTTGTTTCAAAAATTGCTTCAACTTTGTTTTCTCATCTAAATAAAGTTGGTAGCAATCTTTTGAAATCGTAAACTATGATGGAAGTTTAAATCTAGATCATATATTAGATAAAAAATTTTTGAACCCTTTGCCCTCTGTATGCTTAAATGGAAGTTCATATAGAGCGATCATTTCGGTTTAGTCTTTTTTACTAACATTTTGATTAAACTTTCATGTGTTAATAGTGTTTTCTCCTACTTGAAGCCTTCTAAGGTCTAATTGAGTTTGTGCAAAGTCAATACAACTATAAGGGTTTTTTTTTGTAAGTCAAAGCATAAAACTTAAGTGAACTTGTCTTATTTTTTGAAGAATTACAAGCAAATATCTTATCACAATAGTTTCTTTTAACCTTCATTTCTTTCTTGTCATCTTCAAATTTTATGAAATGGTCTCACACCATCGATCTTGGCTTCATTGGTTTCCTCTTTTTTCCTTTGCCATCATCTTGAGTGTTAATTAGAGCTACACTTGATTATGGATTGCT